CCTCCATCTTCTCTTGATGCTTTCTGCATCATACAATAATTTGCCCAGTGAATCTTTCAGTAACAAAAGTCGAGGCTTGAATTTTTCTTCAGTTCCCCCAGCTTGAGAAATGCTGAGCATGTTCTTTGCATGTTTTGTTGTAATATTTGGCTTTATCTTCTCGAGCTGATCTTTGAAATTTTCTGTTCAGTTCTTGGACCACCTCATTTACATTAGCTTTAGCATTTTAGGATCTAGGGAATTATTATTATAAGATGTAGTATAGGCATTTTGAAAACAAGGTTTCATAACTAATATTTCAAGAAGTCTTACATCATTTAATTGCTATTTTAATGTCAGGCCTTTTTCTAGTTAGATACAGAGAAGTTGGTTCTTTCAGATGGAACAGTAGGCCTGTCTTGGACTGGTTTTGTAATAAGTGGCCAGTTCACTAGCTGATCATATACCTCCATAGGCCAGTGAGTGTAAAGAACACAAAAGGTAAATGTAAATACAGACTAGGAAGCAAGATGAAATCAGAACTAGAGTTCTAAATCAATGTGAAAATTTACAAGTCCTTTTTTTCCCTTAAATCTCTTTTTAATGGTAGGTACATTTTTCTTTATTTGTATTTTGCTTTGTTGTTGTTGTTAAATGCTGTCGAGTCAGTTCCAACCCATAGCGACCTGTACAGGGTTTCTAAGGAGCAGCTGCTGACCTTGCAGTTGAAATAGACTTTGTAATCCAGCACATTAAGCCACAACATCACATCAGGAACACAAAGTTAAAGCTCTAAAACTATGCTTACCAAACTGAACTTGTAAGATCATATAAAATACTTTTTAAAATACTTTAGAAAAGAATCTCTTAGAGTCTGAAGACTGACTTCTCTTAAGCCTGGGCTTATAGAATAAGTACATTTATGTGAAATATTTTGTTCTGTTCTTTGTGTTTTGTATGCTATCCCATAACATGTTTGTTTTATATAGTCATGTTTTGCCTTATGATTAAGCAAAATTAAAACTTCAAACAATTCTCCATGTTTTCATGTTGACTGTCTTAGTATGACTATCATGATGTTGAGAAATGCAGTTGTAGAAAAAAACAAAACTTGCGTAAGAACGGAGACTAGGGTATACGAAATTTAAGTTGTTGGTTTCTTTTGTTTGTGTGGCTTAGTTATTGACAGCAAATTAATGCAGTATTCAATTCTTTGTGTATTTTCTTTTTAAATGACATACCTTCTAAGATGTTGAAGTGAATCAAAATTAGGGACAATGGTTATGAGTTATGAACATCATATATGTGCACTTATTTTAGAAATGCCTCAAAGCATTGCCAGCTAATGTATGTTTCACACAGGTCTCTAACTTGGAGTTTTATATTTAGAGCATTTGAACAACAATCGGGCTGTTCAGTCCCGATTGGCATGCTGCCCAAAATAACAGAAGAAACCCAGCATCTGACGCTTGCACACTTAGAGTATTTCAGCCTCTGGTATCTAATGTTAACCTTGGAAGCACAATCAAAGGACAACAGAAAGAATTATCAGAATATATGGCTAATGCCGGCTTTGGAAATGTAAGTGGTCCATTTAATATAGTAAAGCTTAAGTATTTTGCATGAGCTGGTGGATTGGTTTTACAAGTCATGACACATACAGGTTTTATATTGTTCGTGTTAAGTGACATCCAGCTGGTTCCAACACATGGCAACTCTATATAGTGTTTCTGAGGAGCAACTGGTTGGTTTGAACTTGCGACCTTTTGGTTAACAATCCAGTGCTTATTCTACAGAGCCACACCAGCACCCCATAGATTATATAGCATGTTAAAAAGGTCTCTGGATGGTGTAAACAGTTTGCATTTGGTTACTAATTGATAGATTGGTGGTTCGAACCCACCTCACAGCAGAGTAGAAGATAGGCCTGACAGTCTGCTTCCTAAAGATTACAGCCGAGAAAACTGTGGCGCTCGGTTCTCTTCTGTAACACGTGGTCACGTTAAAGACACACTATTACATATATTTGTGACAGCTTCAGATAGTTATTCATGAACTGTTTCTAGGTAGACACATCACTTCTACATCTACTATATGCTTGAATCGTTAGTTATTTTCAGTAGGTTAAAATACACATCATGATGTTTTATTTGAAAAATTATTAGTAAGTCTTTTTTTTTTTTTCATCAGGACAACAGTATAAATGAGTCTAGCATAAGATGAATTGTTTACACTTCGCAGAGTGAAAATTAATGAGGATTTACATAGTGTTTGGAGTCCTGGTATGGCGCTGTGGGTTAGTGCGTCGGACTGCAAAGTCAGTTTGAACTGCAATGTCGGTGGTTCAAAATCACCAGCTGCTCTTCGGAAACCCTATACAGGGTCGCTATGGGTCAGAACCAATTCAACGGCAGTCAACAATAACAACATAGTGTTTTAAATGCTAGTATTAAAAAAAGTTTAATAAGTTTTGATACAAATTCAAGTTTTCCAGAGTTGTTGTTGTTTAGTGCTATCTAGTCGGTTCCGACCCATAGCGACCCTGTATAGGGTTTCCGAAGAGCAGCTGGTGAGCTTGAACCACCAACCTTGCAGTTCAAACGGCTTTGCAGTCTGGCGCATTAACCCACAGTGCCACACCAGTAGGCCCATCTTATTTTCTTAATAATATCCATTGTTTACAAGTTACTTGTACAGTTGTAGTTTTATGTATCTTCACATAGCATTTTTTATGTAAAATTTAGTTGTTGCCGTTTCATTTATTTCTTTCTAGAATGAATATTTATGATAATATGACTTTAAGAATACTTAGATTCTTGCCTTAATATTGTTGTCATTAAGTGCTGTTAAGTTGGTTCCAACTCATAATGACCCTGTATAGGGTTTTGAGGAACGACTGGTGGGTTTGAGCTTCCAACTGCTAACTTGTGGTAAGCAGTCCAATACTTACGGCGCCACACCAGGAGTCCACTTCCTTAACATTAGACTTTAACACAGGCAGCAGTACAGTGAAGAAAGTTTAAATGATTGTAGATAGACTATAAAGCTGCAGTTTTGTTAAATATCTATGCCAGCAAGCCTCTGAAATTATATGGTATTTAATAATAGTGCCTGACTGCTTGGAAACACCTAATAATTATTTCTTTGAAGCCATATATTCATAGATGTTTATCATTTTTTCCTTTAAATTTTCTTAATTTTGTTAAAAATGTACGGTGCATACACACCAATCCTACATTTCTACATGTATGATTTAGTGACATTACTTACATTATTCAGGTTGTGCCAACCAATTTAACCTTCCTTTTATGAGTTGTTCCTCATTTGTTAACTTA